GGCAGACATACATGGGTACAGTTTGCTGACTACTGATCTGCAGTAATTAGCCTAAAAGCAATGCCCAAGTAATTTATCAAGAAAAAAATTTTAAACTCTACTCAGGGACATAAGAAGGTCTGTCATACTTGGGATAACCCAAATAGTGCAAAAATGTTATTCATTTACTTAATATTCAGAGCACCTACTAGAAGCCCAGGCACTTTTGGGGGTGCTAGAGATACAGCAGAGAACAAAACAAAGCATCTGCCATCACTAATATTACATTCCAGTGGAGAAGCAGTGAATAAAGTCAGATAGTAATAAATGCTATGAAAAAACTTAAATCAGATACAAGAATAGAGAGTAGAGAGTGATGGAGAGTTAGTGTGCTGCTTAATTTTGGATGGTCAAGGAAGGCTTCCCCGACATTTTAGCAGAGACCTAAAAGAGGTAAAGGGAGCCAGCCACACTGAATTCTGGGGAGGGAGTGATCCATGCAAAGATGTTGGTTCTCTCCCAAATTAATCTATACATATTCAATGAAATTCCAATAAAAATTCCATAGTAATGTTGAAAAACTATTATAAAACTCACTCTAAAATAAATATAGAACAATAAAATTCTATGAAAGCTAAATCTATTTTTAAAAAGTAGTAGTACCTGCCCTACTGGTAGAACTGGCTCTACCACAAAGCTATGGTAATAAAAACATTGTGCTGCTGGCACTGAAACAAAGAAAAACACCAATGAAATAGAATGCAGAGCTTAAAAATAAAGTGTATACATGGAAACCTAATGTGTCTGGGGTGCTAGATTGCAAAGATTGTTTTTCAGATAGTGATAGAATAACTATTTCACTGTAGGGAGAAGAAAGCTGGATTTTTACTTAAAACCATACAGAAGGTGGAATCCAGATGGATTAAATGCTTAAATGTAGAAGTTAAAACTATAAAGCTAATGTAAGAAAATACAGGAAAAATCTGTGTTACCTAGGGTAAATAAAGACTTCCTAAAAAAGGGGGACTCCATAAGGTCAAAATTTAAGACATCTACTTATTTAATGACGTTGCAGATAAAGTTAACAGGAAGGTGATAGACTGAAAAAAGATATTTGCAATATTTAAAACAAAGGATTAATGTCTAGAATATACAGAGATTCCTGCCAATAGACAGGAAATCAAACAGAAAAAATGGGCAAAGAATACATAGATACCTTAGTTTCACATACTAAAGAAGTCTATATACTGTCATATACAAAGAAGCAAATGAAAAAAGTCTCAAATTTAATTATACCCAGAGACATGCAAATCAAAACAACCAAGAGCTGCCACTTTACATCCATCAAACTGGCAAAATTAGGAAGATGGATAACACTAAAGACTGGTGAGGATGTGGATATGAGTTCTTACGCACTGGCAATAGGAAAGTAAGCAGTACAGCCATTCTGAAAAGTAATCTGGCAATATCTAGTGAACTTGAGCACGGCCATAGCTATATGGACCAGGGGAATTTTCACACCAATCTACAAATTTGCTTATTTTAGCATTTTTCATGGTAGTGAAGAGTTGAAGGTAATCTAGGTTTCTATCACCAAGAGACTGAATCAAGTAAACATGGTAGATACACAGTGGTTATATGCCTGGATTTGGAAGACAGACTGCCTGATTTGAAATTCAGGGTCTGTCACTTACTAGTTCTGACTTTGGACAACAGAAAAAAAAATTTTGAGTAATCTCTCTGTGCCTCTCATCTATAAAATGGGAGTAATAATAACGATCCTCATAGTGTTGTTGTGAGAAGTACATGAATTGAAACATTTAAAGCATCTGTCACAGAGTTAAGCACTAGTTAAACATTAATATTACTACTGTTAATAAGAAAGCATATGCAAGTT